GATGGGACGTTATTCCTCGATATTGGGCTGAGCTTAATTTTGCAAAAGTATGAATGCACCGAGCACAAGCGTTCCACCTATCGATTTTTGAATCCTTTTCCCGAGAGCTGATTATTGCCCCACAATTCTCTTATGGAGCAACCAGTTTTGCTCCGCCCGCTATCGCGCGCATCACACGGCAGGCTTTAGTGAAACTGAAAGACCCATGGAATATCAGCATGAGGTCCTCCATTAGCCACCTCACTATTGAATGTGTTAGACCTTTTCCCAGTTTCGCTGAAGTCCATCGAGAATACGCGTGATAACGTCTGGAGCTGAACTGGTATTTATCTCACAACTGTAAACATCCAGCATTCTTCTTGAAATTCAGATAATTTAGCGGTGAATAGGATTGCTGTCAGTCTCAAAATAAAATGAAATATGCCTATTTACATAAGTGAGGAGCTAAGGCTTATCATTTATTTACATTCACCATTATTTAGAACCCCGAAAGGATTAGCGGTTTAATGAGTTTGGGCTTTCTTGATAGAAATGAAAGTTATCATTTGCTGAAGACTTGATTGAGTTTATGCAATAGACTGCTATTAAGTAGGCTGGTCATACAATGATACAGTGTGCACGTACCACTACAAATAGAATTTGTAAGTAGGGACGCTCTAGTGTCAGCGCAAGCTACGTAACGGAATCGACGACTTTTGCGTTCTGACGCCTTATCAGCCCTTATCAGTTGTAACCACTTTCCATCACCTACCAACAATGTCCCCGTCCCACCCCACATGACACCTGCGAGTATGGACGCTCTAGTGTCAACGCAAGCTGGTAACGGAATCGACGACTTTTGCGTTCTGACGCCCCTTATCAGCCCTTATCAGTTGTAACCACTTTCCATCACCTACCAACAATGTCCCCGTCCCACCCCACATGACACCTGCGAGTATGGACGCTCTAGTGTCAACGCAAGCTGGTAACGGAATCGACGACTTTTGCGTTCTGACGCCCCTTATCAGCCCTTATCAGTTGCTATCGCTTCCATTCATGTACCACCATTGTCCCGGGACCACCCACATAACACTTGTAAGTATAGACGCTCTAGTACCAATATGAACGACAAAACGAAATTGGCGATGCTCGCTTTCTAGCCCCTCTTATCAGCTATTATCAGTCGTTATCAGTTCCTATCACATACCACTTGAGTCCCCATCCCACCCCCTATAACATATGTAAGAACCATGGCGCTATCGTTGCTGTGACCCGAGCTACGAATTTCGTGACAAACACACACACAGACATACTTAGCGAATTATATATAGTAGAATAAGAAGTTGTGGGTTCAGGGACACGGTTTATTATAAATTTCTGTATTTGCCTTTTCTACTCTCGTAGGAGAGGTCATTTGTAACTGGCCAATAGAAATGAGGCGTATAAGTCTATACGCGGCTTGGGACTCTGAGCTCCAATATACAGTAGCGGTCAAAAAATTGGAAACTTTTTTATTTTTGATCCAGCATAGCCGATTGATGATGAAATTTCCCCGAATCACATATATATTCAGAATCAAGTGTAGATTACGATGGACAACATAATTTTTCGAAAACTAAAATCGCATTTGAAAAATACAAATTTTTATAAGAAATGGCGCGTCAAAAGTTTGGAAACTTTCCAATTCCAAAGCGAATTCGGCAAAATAGCTCTCAAATCCACATGATAAATTAGTTATTTGATGAGTAGGCTTGAATTTCTATGTTAGCGTCGTTTTTATTGACATGGAGTTGATTATAAAATAATTTTAGGACTTTTAAGTCGAACCCTACACACTGTGAACTAAATCACATTGTTTTGGGATTCCTAACTGGAATGTGGGTTGAGCGACATGCCAGTTCTTCCGTGGGATATAGAACTCAATTGGAGGTTTTAGATCTTAACTTGGTTGCTTCATAACAGTTTCTTTTTCTGGGTTCAGCAATAAGGAGATAGGCCTGCATTGAGTCATTTCCACGATAGAAAATCCATCTTTTCAGGCTATGCTGACTATCGAAGGGAAGTATTATATTCTACAGACTATACTTGTACTTAGCCCAACCCACATTTCGCTGGATACCTAGAACTGGGGAATCGCCGAATGGTTCGGACACATGTTCATCCATGACAGTACTTCCACTATTTCTGACTGTTGGAGACTGGTACTTAAAATTAGGTTTCCTGTCGATAAAACACTTCACAGGTCCACTACATCACTTTAGTTAGACAGAAATCCCATTCGTCGCTGAGGGCAAAGTTTTACCTCTCGCCCTCGGTACCCATGTTAGCCGTTAGTGGGCGGAAGCCAGTTGGGCCATCCTGCTCTTGAAGCCCAACAATGGCTTCTTGTTGGGACATCATCCGTAATATTCACCAGGTCGCGGCCAATGTTGGGCGTGCACTTGGACTTTCATATGATTAGGAAAAAACCAGAAAAAGTTGTCTCTTAGTTGGGAATGTTGGGGGCACGGGACGTGCCAACCACCCTTTCGAAGTATTTGAGGAGGCCAATTTTCTTGTGAGGATACTTTTTTGTGAATGATCATTCTTCTTGCTTACTCGACTCCAATAACGCTAGAAACATTCGATAATATTGCTTCCGTAGAGACTGAACTACTAAGAAACAGTTTCAATTTCGTATTCCGGATTGTAGGGTTTAAAAAAAACCTCCCATGGAAAAACTGCTTCCTTTGCATATGAATTCATTTTGAAATTACACATTGCTCAATGGTTGAACTAAAATTAACAGAAACAAGTAAACATTGAAGAGTAGGAATCATAATGATAAGGGAAACAAAAAGTTTCCAAACTTTTGACGCGCCATTACTTTTAAAAAAATCTTATTTCTCAAATATGATTATAGGTTTTTGGAAATTGTTCTTCCCGTCGTATTCTGAACTCGATTTTGTATGGAATATCTAAATTTGGGACAATTTCGTTGTGTATCGGCCGCGCTAGATCAAAAATAAAAAAGTTTCCAAACTTTTGACCGCTACTGTACGTTCCTTTTCTGTTATAACCTTATCTGAAAGCAATTATCACGTCATCATATAAACCAGAAGTTTGTGTGTGTCGGTTTTGTCAGTTGTGTGTGTGTGTGGCGTGTGTGTGTCTGTCCGCTCACAAAACCGGACGAAGAAGGGCAACACTTCGTGATGTTGATGTCATGATCATGATAACACCCACAGCGGCTATATAAACACCGATCGAGCACACTCAGTCTCATTCTACATGGTGCTGCCGTGGCAGCCGGATGAGCGGGGGAGAGGGAAGGGGCAAGAAAGGGGAGGCTGGAAGGGAGGAGAGAGAGAAGAGGGAGGGAAGGGAGAGGAGAAAGGGAGGGAGAACATGGCGCTGTCATGCGCCGGAGAGGAGGGTATAAGGAGGGGGAGGTGGGGGAGGAGAGACCGAAGAGAGAACGACCGTTCTTAAGAGTAAGGTTACATTCGTGTTAGCGCATTATTCTGACCTGATGTGGTGATTGTGATAACACCCACAATGGCTACAAAACCAAGCCGAGCACACATCAGCTTTCATTTTAAATGGCGCTGCCGGGCAGCCGGAGTCGGCTGCCCCGGCAGCGATAGCGGGCGGAGCGAACCTGGTGAAGCTAAAAAACGCGAGGGCAGTGGTTGTGGATTCCAGAAAAGACGGAAAAGAGGCAATTGGTGACTCCCTGTCGAGCTTACTCTTTTGCCGCTTTCAGTGGCATAGCTAGGAGGATTCCTAATATCACTAGTCCAACATCTTGCGTATGACTAACCGTACAATGAATTTAAGGGCAATTAATAACGAACTCGGGTGGCATCTCTCCTCACTGATTTAGGCGCTTATAGCGCTGGTGCCAGGCATTTCCGCGCCAAACAAGCGCCACATTCGTTATCAGTGAGTCGCACTCTCCCTCTGGACAAACTTCTAGTCATTCTGAAACTTTTGACCTAACCTCGAAAATTTGGGCAGTCACTTACGATCCACCAATCCATTACAAAAGGCTGGCACTTGGGTAGAATAAACTTTTCAAACACCTTTCAGAATGGACGAATAATTGTGTCTGTTGTTTTTTCTTGCTCGTCCGCAAATCTGAACAACTGCGAGGGATTATTTCCAAAAAGAACGCCCTACCGCCCCTATCCCCCGTGGTCCATGATTTATCAACCCATCAGAAGAATGGTAATCCAGGAGTGGATCTCTTTTCTCAATTAGTTCATACCTCGGCTTTGGCGAGAAATTCGTTTTTAGGGGTAGTTCGATCTCCTGAATACGAATATCGCACCCAGGATCTTGCAAACTCTTCGTAGATGTAGCGTCGGGCGACCGTTGATAAAATAACGGATTCAAAAAGGCTTTTCAGCCATGTTGGAAAAAAAGCAAAACACCAAACCCCGGAGGAACCGAACCCGCAACCCCTTGCTTGAGAAGCAAGACCGCTACCAACTGCGCTACCGAAGCTCACTCTTTTCGGTTCTCCTTTCGATACTTTTATAAGAGCTAACATGTGATTGCAGGCAAGACACTGAAAATCAAGGGCGGCAACAAAAACCCTCCGTAACTCCTTTCAGAGAAGAGTTCAGCAGATAATGAAAGCAGATTTGAGTTCAGCGTCTCATGCTGCGTACAGAAATGTGCACCTCATTTCATTTGGCCGGGTTGGCCTAATGACCTTTCCTGGTCAGCTTTCTCGCTATCTCAAGCGTGAACAGGTGCTCAGGTGGGAACTTATAGTGGACGAGATTCCCCTCCCTTGTAGAATACGCTAGTGTAGTAACTGTGCTTTCGACCTGGATCCCTTGTGTTTCAGGCATTGGGGTTGCAGTCAGAGATCCGCGCAATCTCGCTCAGGTATGCAACCATTTCGGTGAAGCAGGGGTATCGGTCGCTGGTTATTGTCTTTAAATGTTCGGAACGCTTCCACTAACCAATAAGTCCCGCTATTTTCGTAACGTTCTAAGTGTTCACTCGCGAATTTCACGGCCAAACCTACCTTGCGCTGAACTCGACTTTGTAGTGGTGGTCGGGGATTCTGTCGTAGTCGTCTGCGGATTTGTAGTGGTGGTGGAAGTGGGTCCTGTCGTAGTCGCACTCTCCCCTGTAGTGGTGGTCGGAGGTTCTGTCGTAGTCGCACTCTCCTCTGTAGTGGTGGTCGGGGATTCTGTCGTAGTCGTCTGCGGAATTGTAGTGGTGGTGGAAGTGGGTCCTGTCGTAGTCGCACTCTCCCCTGTAGTGGTGGTCGGAGGTTCTGTCGTAGTCGCACTCTCCTCTGTAGTGGTGGTCGGGGATTCTGTCGTAGTCGTCTGCGGAATTGTAGTGGTGGTGGAAGTGGG